GCCGTTTCTGCCTTGAACGCACATGTGTATGTGGATGGGGTCCCTTAATTTCCTTTGCAGTCCATTGGGACGGTAGTAGCTTGACTGCGACACGTAAACGATAATTTCGTGGAGTTGTTCTTCATTTAATTTTGCTCCTTTAGTATTTCGGGAGAGAGTACTTCCTTGTTTTCAGGTTGTTTTTGGCTCTGCTTTGTGTGCGCTCGAAGGAAAAAAGCCAGAAATTGGAGAAGAATCAATCAAGCAGTTACTTAATATTCTCGACGAAAAGTTTGTTATTCCTGAAAGAGTTGTAAATACTGAAGCAATGTTTGCTGCTGAGCACGTCTACTCGATTCAAGGTTAATATATATTTCAAGAGTCCTTTTTTGATCCTACTTCTTTATGTTGTTCTTAAAGGAAGAGGTACTGTCATTACCGGTAAGCTAGAAAGAGGAACGCTGAAACGTGGTGATAAGATTGAAATTATTGGATGCGATCGAGAAAATGTGAAATCCGTGATATCCGGTACGTTTACTAAAGCAGCGGCAAATGAGTTCAGTATGATACGTTGGCTTTGTGTAATGCTGAATTACCAGGACTGGAATCTTTCCGCAAGACTGTAGAGCAGGCTGAGCCGGGAGATCAACTTGGTGTACTACTCCGTGGTCTTGGGCCGAAAGACGTTCGACGAGGATGCGTTCTTCTGCCGCAGGGTCATAAACACAAAGCGACAGACAAAGTGAAGGCGCAGGTGATTATTCAATACATTTTAGGGTTTCGTCGTTGCTCGTCTCTATGTGCGGTCACGTTGTTCGTGTTGGATTCAGAGCAAGTGCTTGTAGTGGTGCTCGCTGGCCCTTGGTTTGTTCATGAAGGCGAATTACTGCTTAGGTTTCTGTTTGCGCCTCATTGCGGTGTCGGAGGTACACATAAGTTTGCCACCAAGGCCAATGTATCACGGGGCCCACGAGTAGGTCACGGAGCACATACAGGGCGAGAAATGTTTGTCGTATAAAGATTGACCTGCAGAGACAAGAGACTTCCGGGGGCTGTAGAGTGGAAGTTGTGAAGGGTAGGGTCAAGCATGGCGTCTCGGAAATTTCCAAATATCGTTCGCTCTCGTCCTCCCGTTTTACGGACACAGCATCAATTCCATTCACGAGGAGTTTGGAATTCGAAGAAGAATGTCGGGACCTTTGAAAATTGTATCTCTCCTAAAACGGTCAGCACTTCATTCAACAAGTTCGTTCTACAGAAAAATGAGGATTTCTACAATTTCTGAAGTCGTAACCCCCTAAAAAGCAATCTTCCGCAAAGCAAATGTGGA